CACATTTCATCGTCACAATGGGTCAACCTGCATCCCCATTTAAGCATTCCACTATATCCCTTCCCCTCCCCAAATTACAAAATGTATATACAAGATGCAGAACACAGGAATCAAATACAGGGAAAACAGGGGTTATACCATGGGGGAAGAACATACAAAAGAAACAAAAGAATCACACAGTGAATTATAAGAACATTAAAAATAATAGGAAGAAAGAAAAAATCACTTGTGTCCCTGTCTTGGGGTATATTTGGCTTCACATCATCTCACATGGTCATATGTATGAAGCCTATGACCTTCTCTGCCTTTCCTAGACATGTACTAGTCATTGCAAACAAGGGAAACCATGGGACCTATGTTTCTTTGGGCCTCACTTACTTCACTTAATATAATTTTTTCCAAGTCTTTCCATTTCCTAACAAATGGGATAATGTCATTCTTTCTGATGGAGGCATAGAATTCATATATATATATATATATATATATATATATATATATATATATATATAATCTCACATTTTCTTGATCTGTTCATCTACTGAGGGACATCAGGGTTGATTCCATATCTTAGCTATGGTGAATAATGCTGTGATAAACATGGTTGTGCATGAAACTGCAGAGCTTCTGCATGGCAAAGGATACAGCTAGCAAGATAAATAGAAAGCCCATGGACTGGGAGAAGATCTTCACTAGCCATACAATGGACAAGGGGCTCATATCTAAAATATATTTAGAACTCAAAAAATTAAATCTCCCACATCAAATCCTCAAAGAAACAACTTCCCAATTAATAAGTGCTAAAGACTTAATGAGAGACTTCTCTGAAGAGGAAATAAGAATGGTCAATAGACACATGAAGAAATGCTCAACTTCTCTAGCCATAAAAGAAATGCAAATCAAGACAACCTTATGATTCCACCTCACCCCAGTTAGAATGGCTATAATCAAGAAATCTAATAACAACAGATGCTGGAGGGGATGTGGCCAAAAAGGAACCCTACTGCATTGTTGGTGGGAATGTAAACTTGTCCAACCACTTTGGAAAGTAGTATGGAGTTCCTCAAAAGACTCCACATAGAGCTCCCCTATGACCCAGCAATCCCACTTTTGGGCATTTACCCAAATGATCACAAACAAGGGTTTGTTTTTTTAAGGCTAGCCTCTGACCTCTTGAGCCATGGCTCTACTTTGGCTTTTTTAATAGCTAATAGGAGATAAGAACCTCATCTTCCCAGGCTGATTTCGAGTCACCATCCTCAGCTCTTAGACTCCTGAATAGTTAGAATTACAGGTACAAGCCACAGGCACCTGCCTGATTCCCATTTCTTCCTCTGTGAAATACTATAAAATATTGTCTAAACAGGGAAAAGGGGATAAAAAAACATAGCGTCAAGTAGAATATCCCAAAGTACCAGATTCACATAAAATGTTTACTATATGCAAATTTCCTTCATTCTACATGCATTAGTTTTGTAAAATGACTACAGAGTTATATGCTTCATAATTCACCAAATAGTATGAGTTGGGAAGAAAACTGGAAAGGGAGAGGACAGTTACTGGATCCTACAAGTACATTCTCAAGTGCCTGGGAAGCACACTAACATCCAGCACTAGGGCAGAATTTCAGGAATTCCTGGAATTGTTACATTGTAAAACATACCTAAATCTTCCTGTTGCATGATAAAAATCACAGTTTTATTAATAAAATCATCTGAATCCAAACTAGAATTTAGGTTGACTCTGAGATCATAATACTTCGCTAGATAAAACTATCCTGTGGTTGATTCTGTAGATTAATCCTATTTTGTGTTTTCAATCATCTTTTTCTCTATCCTAAAGATATTCTTGCAGTGGCTCTGATTCTTTTAGTAAGCAGAGTTTACTGTATGACTTACCTTAGATTACCTAATCTTACTGAACCACTGCTTAAGCGTCTCCAAGAACAATATAAAAACACTTCAAATAAATTTATACAGTACTTATTCCTATAAATGGTATACCCACTGCTTTAATATCCTTACTCAACTGCAGAACATCCTAGAACTTCAGGGAATGCGGAGTCATAGTACAAAATCTATCTTTCCTCTTTCCCTCATGAAGAAATAGTTTTGACTTGGGTAACTTAACCTCTGATTCAGAGAAGATACTTGATTATTCTATTTTTCATTATTTTGAATATATATATATTAATCACAGAAAGAGTTTCATATATGAGTATAACACATTTAGAATACATTTCTGTACAATATGCTTATTCAATATATTCCTAATTCCTTCATTCCTGTGCTTGGTAGGGTTCAATTCTTTCTCTCCTCTTCATTAGAGGATTGATTATTCTACATTTGTTTTGTTTTTGTTTCTGTTTTTGTCAGTTGTGGGGCTTGAACTCTGGGCCTGGGCACTGCCCTGCGCTCTTCAGCTCAAGGCAAGCGCTCTACCACTTGAGCCACAGTGCCACTTCCAAGAGCATTGATTATTCTAAACAATGAATTCCACAAACTACTTCTTGAAAGAACAATGTAATAAATATTCTAGGATTGTGGGCCACATAGCTACTGTAACCACTCAATCTTACTAGGAAGGAGGATGCAAACAAACAGAGAAAATTGTGATCTTGTAAAGCTTTGTTTATAAAAACAAGATGCCTTTTTAAAACTAATTTTCCAATCTATGTTTTAGACAAATCTTTCTAATTCAATTCTGATTAGCAATGTTTAAGTCTGCAACTGAGTTTATAACATACCCCAGGAATGGGTACATGATGTTCTGCATACTGAAGCATTGTAGCAGACTTGAGTTATGTATTTGGCAAGGATTAGTATCCAAAATATATAAGCAAAAACAAGCAACCCAATGAAAATGGAAAATACACCTAGGTGGCCATCACTCAAAGGAAGCCATACAAATGACCAAAAGGTATATGAAAAAAATGCTGAACATCACTAATGATTAGAAAAATGCAACCAAAACCACACTGAGATATCACCTTTCCCTAATAAGAATGGCTGCTCTAACAAAAACCTAGTAAGCTCTGGGAGCATGTGATTTTTATCACCTGATGAATGGACTATTATTCAGTCATAAAATGAATGGAATCCTGTCATTTATGACAGCCAGGATGAAACTGAAAATCATTATGTTAAGTGAAATAAGCCAGGCCAAGAGAGACAGGTACCACAGGGTTTCACTCATATTTGCATTCAGAAAGTTAAATTCATGGAACTGGAAAGTAGTTGGTGGTTACCAGAGGCCAGATAATATAGGGGTTAGCAACAATGAGGAAATTTTGGTCTTTTACCACACATTAACAATTTAAAAGGAGCAAGAATTTCTGGTGTGGTGTTCTACTCTTGGGCAAATATAGATACAATCAAGTAATGTGCATTCCAAGGATCTTGTAAAAAACTTTGTTGTGGTATTGAGGTTTGGACTTAGGGCCTCATAATAACAAAGTAAGGACTCGATTACTTATATCATGCTGTCAGTCCTTTTGCTTTCATTTATTCTTAGAATTTCATGCTTTTCTCTAATCCATCTCATGAGCAGCTGTGATTATAGACACAAATCGCTATGTCCAGCACTGGATGAAAGGATTTTGATTATATTTCTTCATTACATAGATGCATCTATATGATAAAGTGCAATGTAGACCACAAGGAAGTCATACTACATTTAGTGTTTCTCTGACCATTTTGACCATAAACTCTTTTGCTCATTAACTGCCTCCCAAGTTCTTCTATGGGCTTTGTGGGAACAGCACTCTACATGGAATAACATGTCAGGATTTCCTTCCTAGTTGTTTTAGTCTCTTAGCATTCCACTTGAATCCTGGTGATGACTACAATGCTCATTCTGCCAGACTGATAAGAGTTCTTCTTCACTACGTTTATTTACATCATCTTCATAATGCAATTGTAATCCCTATTTTAGGAAACTGGACAATATTATAATAATTGCTGATTTTGATTGTGCGAAAGCCTAAGGGTTAATAGTACATTTAAATTACTTTATTACACTGTGATGTTTATATCATTAAAACATGTACATCTGGAAGCAAACTAATATTAAATTAAAGAGATTCTCTATCAGAAACCATCTCAGATGGTTGTAATAAGTTTCACCCTTGTACCATGTTTGTCAGAGAGCCTCACAAACAATATTCTTATTTCACATTTCTTAGATAATGGAGTTTTTCAGGTATTATGTGAATTACCTTATTTCACTCTGACAATGCTTTTATAAAATAAGAACTGAGACTCAAGCCCAAAGCTTCCATGTTCGCAGTGTCAAGTCAGAATATGACACCAGCCTTAAGACTAATTGACTCAGGAGAATAATGGAATACATAGAGATACTAAAGGACTACTATATTATTGCAATTAATTCCCTATCACAACTTTGAGACAGCATAAAAATTATTAATGAAAAGTTAGATGATGACAAGAGAAAATGTGGTTTAAATTATATAATGACACACAGGTATGGAATAGCCAGGAGCATTTCCACTTCTACCTACAATGAATGGTTAGGGTGTTTTTTTTTTTTTTTCTGACTGACAAATTTTTTTTTGTCGGTCATGGGGCTTGAACTCTGGGCCTGTGAGCTGTTTCTGAGCTCTTCAGTTCAAGGCGAGTGCTCTACCACTTGAGCTACAGTGCCACTTCCGGTTTTCTGGTGGTTTATTGGAGGTAAGAGTCTCACAGACTTTCCTGCCCGGGCTAGCTTTGAACCACAATCCTCAGATCTCAGCGTCCTGAGTAGCTAGAATTACAGGCGTGAGTCACCAGCGCCTGGCTTTAGATTGACAAATTTTAATTGTCTAGAAATATATATATATAAATCCCCCACAAAAAGGCGCCACTCTTTCACTTCCCATCTTTTTTTCAATACCTGTTGTCACAAGACTGATTGGAATAAAAATATTGTCTAGAAATATATATATATATATGCATATATATATATATATATATATATATATATATATAAGATCCCCCAAGTGGCTATTCTCTCCTTTCCCCATCTTCTTCTTCAACAGCTCTGATATAAAGGACACTGTTAGATCTTATTAAAATTTCACCCAGCTGTCCAGACAATGCCCCATCTATGTATTCTGCTGTATTTGCCAGCTGCATATTCATATAGCCATCTACAGATACCAAGTAGCCTTTGTATTCCATCCCCCACTTAAGTTTCACCATCACTGGCTTTCCTGTTAGTCCATTGAGGAAAGGTTTGGGATTGAGAGGTAAACTCATCGCGAATACGGGCGGATACCACAGGCTCCCCGCCGATCCCCACGCCATGGCCTGTCCCTCCTGGCTGGAGCCGCAGCTGTGAGCTCGAACTTGCGAGCCAAGAGAGAAATAGCCGCCAAAGCACCTTGTCACCTTTCACCTTTCTGAATGGTTAGGTTTTGCAGGGAAAATATTCTTGATATTTTAGAATAAAAGTGATTTTATAGAATCTGAAATTGGGGTGTGGCTCACTGGTGGAGGTCTTATCTAATGCATACAAGGCACTGAGTTCAATCTAACATCACAGAAGAGATATCTGAATGTATTTTACAGACAATGAAACTAGGGTCCAAAAGCTTTTATCTTTTCTAGTGTGAGGAACATGAAAAAAAACAATAGAAGAAGAATATCCAAAGCAGGGAATATGTACATGGCATATGTGTTCGTGTGTGTGTATGTGCATGTCTGACTGTAACTCATGTACTTACTAGCACATTGTGAAAAAGTGTTAAACAGGAAACAAATAGTAAAATGAATGGGCTTCAGACTATACAGACTTTAATTTGTGGCACTCTCTCTGGCCTGTACTGATAATACTCCACAATAGCTTTCCAATTGAGTCAATTCCAATCCATTATTTTCCATAGCTTTCTTCATTTGTCCTCTTTATAACCATTTATCAGGCACCAATAAGTCAATCCTACCTGGATTCTGTTTTCATCTTTCTGTACTAACCGAAATGCATTGGATTATATTATTGATTGTTGCTGTATGTGTTTTTTTAAAGAGCCTTGCATTGCTAGGTAATATATATCCACTAAGGAAAATCTTTCCTTCCAAACCATATTTTATTTTCCTATCTTCTCATTTCACCTCAATAAATGTCCATGGACCTCTACTATATGCCAAATAATGGGTAAAAATTGAAATAAGGCATGGTTTTCTATATTAATAAGGGTCACAGGTACTTAGGCAACTTTCCAAAGGCAATATAAAAGGGCTAATGGCTCCTACAAGATGGAATAGGGAAAATGGTATGAACATTCAACTGAATATAGGAAGTTAGTAAAGCTAGGAGAAAGCAGGACTGTCTTATGTATGTATACTTGAAAAAGTTGGGGCCTATATTTTCTTTTTTCTTTTTTTTGGGGGGGGGGGTGGGAGGTCCAGTCGTGGGGACTGAACTCTGGGCCTGGGCACTGTCCCTCAGCTCTTCAGCTCAAGGCTAGCACTCTACCACTTGAGCCACAGTGCCACTTTCGGCTTTTTTTCTGCTTATGTGGTGCTGAGGAATTGAACCCTGGGCCTCATGCATGCAAGTCAAGCGCTCACCACTGAGCCACCTTCCCAGTCCCCCTATATTTTCTTATATGTGTAGAGTTCTAGTTTGCAGTTGGTCAGAAAAGACACTTGCACAAGATTTTGAAGTTAGAAATTCAACAGTGGCCATGGCCTTTTACAATAAGTATTAAGTAATTGTAGAAAGAGGTTACAATTCCATAAGTCAGGTTATAGGTATAATGAGTAGAATGCTTCTTGGATAATGCTATGTAGCTTAAGCTACTCTCAAATTATGGAGTTTAATTTTTACATAGTGTACATTGACTATAATGAATGCATTTGTTCACCCATTCTCCTTCCATTCATGTACTCCTTTCACCCTCCCCTGTCAAAACATTCTTCCGCTTCCTGGGTCTTCACCTTTGAAAGATGTTTGAAGGTAGTTTTCGTGATAGATAGATGCAGACATAATCTTGCTCTCATCTAGTTTATATCCAACTTATCTTCCTGAATAATGGCTGTTCAGAACTCCAGGCTCACTATAGCATGCTTGGGACCAGAAGCTATACTAGCCATACAAGCAATGAAGCTAATGTCTCTCAAAGTAATTTTTTGAGTCAAATGAGGACTTAGTAGACAGAAAATGCTATGCATTGCTAATTTCAAAACTAAAATTTTATCTCCATGAAGTAATTTTAATTTTAGATTTTGGAGCTTATAGACATTTTGTATGAAATGGAAAACATGCCATGATATGGTTCCAATATGAAATATTCCACACAGAATCATGTGATGGGGAATTGGATGTTGACTAAAGATATTTGGGGAAGTGATTAGATCTGGAGAACTGACTTATTCAATGGACCAATCGCTTGATGGATTGATGATATGATGGCATTATTAGGAGGGGATTAAAAGGTATGGTATCAAGTTAGAAGTAGGAGGTTACTTGGAGTATATGTTGCCATGGCTGCTTCTTGTCCTCTAAGAATCTCTGTCAGTCATGTACTCTTTCAGCCATAATGCTCTTCCTCACCATGGAGCCCTGAAACCTCTGGAATCATGAGATACAATAAATCTTTCACCCTTAAGTTATTTGTGTCAGACATTCTGTCATCGTGAGAAGAAAACTAACAAATGACATAAAGACCATGGTCTCCCTCAAATAGAGAAGGGTTTTCTAAGCATTGGCTTGCCTAGAAGTGTCTGGCAGTTAATACCAAAACTCTTCTAGAATAGTCATAGACAGTGCTCTAAGGTTTCTCTGTAATTTTTGTGTGTGTGGGCAGAAGACATTTTTGGATCTTCATGAAATTCCAAGAGAACTATGAGAAGCAATCCTGTAGAGTGTATAGCAGTCAGAAAACACAGGTATAGCTAGAGAACTGGAAATAAGATCAATAGAGTCTGATGCTCAAAAAGGATAGCTTTCTGTACTTACTATGAATACTTCCTATTTAGCTAGTGCATGGCCTATGCATCTTAAATATATTGATCTTCGAATCTTAAGAGATGAGTGGCATTGTTATTTCTATTGTATAGATAAAGAAACTGAAACTCAAAGAGATTAATTAATGTGCCCTGGCTTATTGAGCTAGTAAATAGTAGAGACAAGATTCATACCAAAAATAACAAAATGCTGAAACAAGGACACAGGATGACCCATTGCAACAAAGACCCACAGGACAATATATTGGAAATGAACTTTACAACTTCAGCGGCAAGGTGTAGGAGTGTGGGAGATGGGGGAAGGATGGGATAGTGGGACAAAAACAAGGAAGGGAAGGGGTAACAATGATCGGCAAGTTATATACTCATTGCTTTACTCATGTAACTGTAACCCCTCTGTACAACACCTTAACAATAAAAAATATGTATTAAAAAAAGATTCATACCCAAATCGTTTCACTGTGCCCTCCTGGGCATGCTCTGTAGTGTCTCACACATAGTTACAGACAAAGACTTCAAAACTTCTACAGTTGATATGTCAGCCCTAAAGCATAGACATGCCACCCACATGGAATCACATGACATTTAGAACACATGAGACAAAAACATGCCAACAAACTAGGTATTAGTGGCTCATATCTGCAGTGCTAGCTACTCAGGAGATTGAGATACATCCAGAGGACTGAAGCTTAAAGCCAGTATAGGCAGAAAAGTTTTCAAAAATCGATTTCTAGACTAGAGGTATAGCTCAAGTTGTAGAGTGTCAACTAAGCAAGTAAGAGAAGGAAGTATGAGGCTTTGAGTTCTGGTGAAACACACAATCATCATGATAAAAGACATTTAACAGTGATCCAGATCAGGGTTAAAATACATAAAGATATGGGAGGGCAAAGGAAAAAAATTAAAAAGAACAGAAAAGGAGGAGAGGAAGAGAAAGTAGGAAAAGAAAGAGGAGAAGCAGGAAGAGGAGGAGGAGGAGGGAAGATGAAGAGAAGAAGATAAAGTAGAAAGAAGCAGGAAGGAAGGAAGGAAGGAAGGAAGGAAGGAAGGAAGGAAGGAAGGAAGGAAGGGAGACAGGGAAGGAAGGAAGGACATGGGAGGGAAGGAAAAAAGAAAAGAAAGGAGGAGGAGGAGACAATCATATCTCATATTTCATATACCCTTTCTTTACAAGCTAGTGTTCCATCCTAGCTGCTTTGAATGCTGTCTCCTTCGGATAACCTCCCACTCCACCCCTACAAAACAGGGAAGCTGGAAGCCCTGTGCTTGTCTCCCTCCTCCAGTTTTACATATGAGAGCCCTAAGGTGATTTCACAGATTTCTATTGAGAACAGACTAAAGTGAATTTCCAGCTTAGACATAGGTCTGTATTCTCTTTTACCATTGCCCTGTCTTGTACTCTTTTCTTCCTTCAGAATCTAAGGAAGCAAACATAAAACCAGCCATCTTAAGTGTAACTAGTATTATAATCCATGTATTTGTTGCAAACTGTCCTTTACTTTTGTTTGTTGATAATTATCTGCTCTCACCAATCACTCATAAAGTCAACTGCTGCTTATTTAGATCTAAAAGAAACTGTGCTGTAGGTACTGGGTAAAGTCTTAAATATTTCATCTCATTTAATTGTCTGAACACCGCAATCTCATCTGCACTACCAGAAGAACCAATTCTCCTTTGGAATTACTGGACATAGCTCAGTGTCAGTGTTAGAGGGCTATGAAAATATAGTCAGGGATTTGTTCCTTTCTCTTTCTGCTGTATGCAGTATTTGTGATACCTTTAATGAAAGTAAAAGATATTTCAAGTGTATTTCTACAGAAACATTGCAATTGTTTGTTTGTACTCTGTGTTGTTGTAGAATGTTGTAGGAAACATTCTGTGTAAGACATCACCAACTGATCAGTTCCTTTCCTGCTCCTCTTTGGTGTTACCAATGCAGGATGTGAAGAATCCTGTTACTAAAGTCATAAAGTGATGCTCAAATCAAAGGCAAATATTTAAGGCAATACTTTGGAAAAATAAGTACTATATGTATGCTTAGGAGCTATAAAATTCTTTCCATTATAATTTTAAAAATAAAGAAAACACAGTTAAAAACAGGGCAAGAGATGTTGCTGAAGTATAGAGCAGCAGGTGTGTAAGCAAATTAAGTGAGCAGAATAAGAGTAAAGCCCTGAATTCAAGCCCCCATATCAGCAAATAAATCAAATCAATAAATAAACGAATGTCTTTTTCTAGCGTTCTAGTATACAAATAATATTCACCATAGTATAAATTTCACCCACTTTCTTTTCACTGATACATATAATAATTAAACATGAATGAGATAATGTGAACTGTTTCGATACATCAGTGTATTTAATCAGGTTGAA